TCTCTAGATGTGTAGGAGCAAGGAGCATAGCCCTTGGCTAGCTGTGTGACCATGCAAAAGTTGCTTAATCTCCCTTAGCCTCTGTTTTCACTTCTGTAAAATGGGGTTTGCAAGAGCCTTGTTGGGTTATGAATTAGAAATGATGAGAAAATACCCAGGGTAATGTAGACAGCAAGGGAACCACAGTTTCTGAATCCATCTTTCTGTCATGAATCAGAGGAGCAAGCACTTAGCAAGCTGCATAGCCTGGCAGCTTCTTCCAAGAACCCCTCTGCCCCATTAAGTCAACTAAGCTCTGACCACAGACGGCTGTGGGCATATTCTTTCCCTCCAAGAGTCAGGATCAGTTCTCCACCCAGCAGATATCTGGGTATCCTTTTTCGCTTTCACTTATTCTTCTATCTAGTCTCTTTCTTTTTTTCTTTTTCTTTTTCAAATCTTTCTGCTTCCTGCTAACACTGATGTTTAATCTGCCTGGTTTCAACTTTGCCTCACATCATCTACGGACTGGGTGGGTCAAAGACTTAAAAACCCATTGTTTTCTGACTTCCATTCCTAGCGCTCTGTAAACATTTACTATGCACCTAACGCTCTGATCAGGAAGCTAAGTTAGCCCAGGGTTTGAAGGCATATGAAGGTCGTCCAGGGGCACTATAGGGTGTTTCTTCATCATTTTTTCTGCTGTTGTACCACACCTGTAGGAAGAAAAGCATCCTGCAAGTGCAAAGCATACTTATTTTAATTGATGGACAAGTGACTCGCGTTGTCCGTCTTCCCAAAGTGTAGTTACCAGAATCATTTCTGCTTGTATTAAAATCTAGTAAAATACCTTTGGCCAAGAGTCAGGCCTTTTGGGATCTGGGCCCAATTCTATCAATTACTGACTGTAATCTACGAGACAAGTTATTCTTCCCATTTGTATGAGGAAAAGGTAATCTTTTTTCCACCCATGGTTTGGGATTGCTGTGAGATTAGCAGAAATGATATGAAATGCAGCACCTGTGCAAAGCGCTTAAAGAAATAGCAGCGCTAAACAAGACTTTAGCGGAGGGGCCCCATAGGAAAGACTGCAGGAAGACACTTGTGACGCAGGGAGCAGACACGGATGGAGATGTGGCAGATGTGGATCATTTGCATGCACAGCGGTCAGCTGCGGATACTTAAAAGAACAGTGCTAAGCATCTCGTTTTCAAGGGTCTTAGAGGGAAGAGGGGTCGACAGCTTTCCCAGCGGTGAGATCCTGACTTCACGCCAAGCACAGGGGAAGCTGACCGGCAGCTGCTGCCCTGATCTACAGGAAAGGAGGAGGAAGAGAAAATCAAAGCGAAGCAGGCTCCGTGTCAGTAAGCTGCCTCACAGTTTAGCAAAGCTACTAATGAAGTGGCCGTCAGTGAGGCCAGACAAGGCAGTCTGTGGGCAAGTTTGCTTCACAGAAAGCGGGTCTGACATCTGGGGGGAAAATGATCCTTCGTTTTCCCAAGTGGCTGCACACGTGTTCCACCTCACTGTCTCCCGGCCTCCAAGTACAAAGAGTTTGTGTATATGCATTCTCTCTCTGGCTCTGGGTATTATCAGATTTTTGCATTTTTAAAAAATACAGTGATGTGGATTGGAATCTTGTTCAGGTTTTGATCAATACTTATGTTGTATATCTTTTCACGTGTATATTAGGTCTATGTGTTTCCTTTAACTCAAATTCTTACCTGCATCCTTTACTCAATTTCCCTGTGCCCTAGTTTGCTTGATCTCTTGTTTTCACATCTCTTGTTTCTTAAATACTTTATCAACAGAGATTCTTTGGAAATTTACATGTATATTCATAATATCACCCATCACTGATAACAATTTTATTAATTTCATAACAGTGTGCTTATATCTTATTTTTTTTTTTGTGACAGGGTCTTGCTATATAGTTAGGCTGGCCTTGAAGTCACTGTGTAGCCCTGATTGGCCTGGAGCTTGCAGTAATCCTCCTGCCTCAGCCTCCTGAGTGTTGGGATTACGGGTGTGCACCACCGTGCCCGGCTCTTAAGTTTTTCTTGGCGTACTCTACTGCCAGGCCCTCTAATATGATGTTGCATGTAACAGTGGCTGGATACCTTTATATTTTCAGCACAGTAATGCATGTGATATTTCACAATTAAATAACCTGATTTCAGTCTTTTTTATAGACTCTTTTGACTAGAACCACGTATCTTTTTTTTTCATTTCTTATGGTATTCGATCTTGAAAACATGCTCACATCCGTACAATGATTTTTCTTCACAAATTGAAAATTGTTACAATGAGTCCACTTTTTCCAGTAAAGGGTTTAAGAACATTGATCACTGCTCAAACGTTAGAGCACCTTCGTCTCTCTAGACACAGTCCTGTGTGGCTGTGATCATCTGTACATGGCTCTGGATTTAGTTCACTGTCCTGTTTAGGATTTACACTGACCCTGAATTCCTTAAACCAGCCTCCTGTTCTTGCTGTGCTTTCTTCACCTTCTCCAGTGAGTCAGTTTGGAATCTGCCCAGATTCCGTGGCCTCTCAGAACTCACTGTAGCCTTGCGGCAGCTCCCTGCATTGGTTTTCCAAAGATGCCATATGCCCACAGGTCAGACTAGCAGTGCCACCGCAGGGCTGGGCAGAGTTCTCCTGTCCGCAGGGGCTGCAGTGGCCCGTGGGTCTCTTGACATAAAGTAGCCCATGACATAACATCTGGGAGTCAGTTTTGCTATCACTTGTCATGCAAGTCTAATTACATTTGCAGGTGTCTCTTTGAAACTCGAAGTGTACAAGTCAGAGCATAGCCATGTTTATAGTTCTCCTTCAGAGAGTCAGGGGCTGGGGAAATTCCAACAAGAAAAGAGTCCTGCAGGCAGACTTCTGAGCTTTCATATGTGTTTGGAACACACACAGCAAAGCTGAGGTCAGTTCTTTTTTTTTTTCTTTTTGAAACAGGATCTCGCTGTGCAGTTCAGGCTGACCTTGAGCTCATTTTGTAGCCCAGGTTGGCCTTGAACTCACAACAATCCTCCTGCTTCAGCCTCCTGAGTGCTGGGATTACAGGCGTGCGCTACCACGCCCGGCTGAGATCAATTCTTAAAGACTTATTAAGGGTCGTTTCTACAGCCCAATTGTATTATTATGGAGAATGTGGGTGAAGAAGGATCTGGACCCACAGCTCAAATTATAAGAGGAGGAACCCATTTTTAGGATGGGGAGCAGAGAAGGAGGAAGCAAGTATCAGCTAAACCCACTGAGGAGAACCTGGGGGCCAAGTGTGATTGGTAAACACGACCGAGAAGCTGGCAGTGTCCCATTATCACTGGATCAATCACAAGTAAGACCTGAGGGCCTGTGATGCTCAGGACCCAGACTGAGATCCCTGAGTTTTGTGTTTGGTCTTTCAAAGAGACTTTCAAAGAAAATTGCAGTTATTCAAAAATAATATTAGACTTGTATGACAGTCTAACATTAAAACTGGATCTTGAACATTATGTTAGAACCAAAGGAAATACAGAGGCCCTAAGGAGCCAGAAGCTGTGCACACTGGCCGTACCGTTAGTGACTAGAGGATAGGTGTGGTCAGAGCACCTTTGCAAAGTGGTGTTTAAACCTGACATACATCGGAGCAGAGCCAAGGTACGCAAGGGCAACGTAAAGAGAAATAATGGGCTCCACATTTGCAGGATTTGCCCTGGGCTGGCTGAGGATCTTGTGTACATGAGCGTGGATTCCTGTAGAGTCGGTGGTATGAGCTGTGTTGGACGCTGGTGTTAGGAGGGTCACAGACGGACTTGCTCATGTTCCTTTCTGTGCAGAGTATAGGGGGGGAGCACTGTTCCCCAGTCTTCCATTTCTCTGGCAGGGGCGTGCATTTTGTCCCGACGGAGTGAGATGTCACTAAACTGTAGGATTATCCCAACACTGGAATGATTGAGACAGGGGACTACTGTCTCAACACTATCACAAACGTCTGTGTGGACAGGTTGGGAGAGACGGGAACACACACACTAGTGAGAGGGAGAATGCTGCAGCAGCTACAGAAAACACTATGGAGGGTCCTCAAATGACTACATGACCAGCAACCCACATTCTGCTTATTCATGCAGAGGTTTAATCAGAATCTTGAACGGTATTAGCACTGCTCTGTCCAAGGCAGCACAATTAACAGTGACCAAGATGGGAGGAGGTAAGAATGCCCAGCAAGGAATTAACAGGTAAAGAGTATGTGGCACAGACACACACTGGGAGAGTATTCACTCTTCCAAGAAAAGTAGCTTCCAGCATTTGGGACAGCAGGGATGCACCAGAGGACGTGACGGTAAGTGACATATACCAGTCACAGAAGGCCCCGGGCCGCTTTCCCCCACTGCTATGAGGTGTGTGATTTCCAGAGGCTGTGCGGAGATGGGGAGGAGGAGGAAGCAAGTTGTTGCTCAATAAGTGTTAAATTCCAGCTCTGCAAGGTGAGTCACCTCCGGAGACCTGCTGTTCAGCGTTGTGGCTGCTGCGCCTGCTCCGGTACAATAACCCGCACCCTTACGACGGAGCCCCCACCCCTCGCGTCGTGTGCTGAGCACGGTGGGGGGAAGACAGACGCAGTGGGATGGATAATGACACAGAACGGGCCGAGAGTGCACAAATGCTGCTTGCATCTAGGGAGACAGCTCAAAGTCACCGGGAAAGGAGAGCAGAGTATGCTGCAAAGATAAAAGATTATAAAGATGACCAGTAGCCCAATACACTGGTGACCTGCATAATAAAGAAACATTTCTTTATGCTATTTGGAGAGAGAGGTGAAGGTCTTGGCTTCTGAATGGAAGTCAAGACCTGATCCCTACCTCAAAGATGTGCGAAGCGGGTGCACATCCACGTGGCCTCTGGGACAGGAGGCAGGGAATCAAGCTCCTGTGATACTGGGTGAGAAACAGATTTCCCGGGATGACGTGGTGGTTTTGAGCAAAGGCAGGAAGTGCATTCCTGTTGGGAAGAGAAAGGGGTGACAGAAGTTTTGTTGTATGGATGGTGGTCCTTTGGAAGGCTGATCACCAGCAGCTGTGTTGGCAGCAGCTGGACATACAGCACCCGGGCTGGCAGCAAGGGGTGCTGTAGCAGCTGGTCACACAGGTGGGCTTGAAGGAGGTCCTGCAGCAGGTGGTCTGACAGCAGGTCGGGCGGCAGCAGGGCTGGCAGCAGCTGGAGCCACAGCTGGTCTGTCCACAGCAGCTGGGCTGGCCGCAGGGGGAGCTGCAGTAGCTGGAGATGCAGGCTGGCTTCCAGCAGGTGGTCCTGCAGGTGGTGGTCCTGCAGCAGGTGGGCTGGCAGCAGGGGGAGCAGCAGGAGTGGGTCATGGTGTCAGGTGTGGAGGCGGGTCCTGGTCACAGGCGAGGTTCTCAGGATTGATGACTTCTTCCTATCTGGGACTTTTATACCCCGAGCCTCTGAGATTGAGGCCAAGCAGCAGGAATTCTCCATGTTGCTGTTTACATTATCTCATCAGTTTGTGTTTGTCAAGGAAAAAATTGCTCCCTAATGATGTGAAGCTTTTTAATCTGTTTCTTAATTGGCAGTAAATCATAGAGTCCATTCCAGGTACAGGAAGGAGGCGGGTTCAGCACGTTTCCTGCTCTGAACACTATGGGTCATGTGCTAACTCTGCGTCCCTGCAGGGGTCAGGACAGTTCTTCCTCTTTAGCCTCCTCTTTGGCTGGACTTAGACTGGCGAGTGTGCCTAGGAAGGGTGTGGCGGTGTGGTGTTCACAGTGACGGGCTCAGTACCTATTTTCTTGCCCTTGAAAGCCTGACTCAAGGTGAGCACAGGAATCTGCGTTCCAGCTGTCCACCTGTTTGGGGGGGGTGTTCCAGATCTTTGGGGGTGCTTCACATTGCTTAGGAAGAGAGTTTGGACAATGTGGCCCCAGTGGCACAGCAGAACCAGTGCAGGAGGGCAGAAGTGGTAGTGGGAATGACAAGATGTCAGAGTGTGTGTGTGTGTGTGTTGTGTTTATCCTTTCGGTACTGAGTGTGACCAGGATGAGCATGAGGAATTTTGTCTCATGTAACAGCTACAGATCCAAGCCACTGGATGTGCTGGTGTTTGGGTCCTAAATCTTGTTACCAGTGGAGTCAGCAAGCTTAGGTTAGTGATATGGCTTTCTCTTTTGCTCCTCCTCTTTTTTCTACTCTCATCTTCTTTTCTCCTCCCCTCTTCTCTCCTCTCCTTTCCTCTTCTGTTCTCTCCTCTCCTCCCCTCTCTCCTTTTGTTTCCCTTCCCTCCCTGTTTTTTTTCTTTCTCCCTCTCTTTCTTTCTTTCTTTCTTTCTTTCTTTCTTTCTTTCTTTCTTTCTTTCTTTCTCTCTTTCTCTCTTTCTCTCTTTCTTTCTCTCTTTCTCTCTTTCTCTCTTTCTCTCTTTCTCTCTCTTTCCTTCCTTCCTCCCTTTTTCCTCCCTTCCTTCTTTCCTTCCTTCCTTGTTTCCTTGCTTGCCTTCTCTTCCATTTCCTCATTCTGTTGTATGAGGAAATTATGGTTGTATGGGATGATAACTGATTTTCTTTGACACTCAGTGTGTGCTAGACTTTGGTAATATAGAGACTTCAGTAAAAAAGGATGAAAACCATTAATTTCCCAACTAATAGACCATCACATAGTGAATGCATCTATGTCCCTTTTTCCAGACTGGGAAGTAGAAGTTAACTCCATTTCTCCACCCACGCCTGTTCCCTTATCCCCAAAGAAGGTTGACTCTGCTGACCCGTAACCCTGTAGGTTGCTTCTGTCTTTATTTGACATTTTTGTGAATGAAAATATAGAATTTGATTTTCCCTGTGTATTATAATTGTGAGATTCATCACTGTAATTATCTGGAATCCTTACATTCTCATTCCCACATGATCTTCCTTTGAATGGATTTCGCAGAACTTACTTGTTGACTGTCCTCTACAAAGATAGAGGTCTATTTTTAGTCGGTAACATTTCAAAATAGTGCTGTTACGAACGTTTTCAAGTGGTGTCTTCAGTAAATGTCCACAAGAACTTTTCTTGGATGCACAGTTAGCTGAAGAGAATTGCTAACAGAATTGTTTGCTGAAATGCTTACTCTCTTCTCTCAAGGGATCTAACCCACTTTTCATTAGGTTTATTATACATGTTTTGTTTTCATACCTTTTTATATGTCATACTGTAAAGTGTAATTGTTACTGCATCTTACAAATAAAAAACCATTTTGGGATGTTCATCTTGTATTAAGGCTCATTGGTTCTTTCTTTTTGCTTTTTTTTTTTTTTTGTCTTTTTGAATCAGGGTTTCACTTATACTCACTTTGTAGCCCGGGCTGGCCTTGAAGTTACAGCAATCTTCCTGCCTCAGCCTCCTGAGTGTTGGGATTTCTTTTTGCTTTCAGTACATATTTGGTGTTGCAGAGGCTCTAACCATGGCCTCACACATGGAAGGCAAACACTCTACCAGCGAGGACCATATCCACTTGAGTACTCTAGCTTTTTGTAACACTTAATCACAGATATTTTTTTGAGGGGAAGGGATGATCTTTCTTTAGAGGCATGTCATGTAGAAGTGGTAATAGTTTCATTCATGTTCTAACCTTGAACATTTTTTGGTCTTACAGTGCCACCTTGGTTCATGAACTTAATTCTTTCCATGATTCTGGTTGCAAGCCACATTGGTAGTGAACCAAGTAAAATTCAATGGTTAGATTCGATATCGACCCTATGGGGAGATTTGATTCAGTTAGCTATCAATTCAGTTTATCCTCAGAGTTGTGGAGAGAATTAAGTTCACGAACTGAGACACCACTGTATTTCCTAGTCGTCTCTAAAGTACAATGTGGAATATAGCAGTGTGATGAACACCTTTGTACATTCTCAGTTCAGACTCTAAAATTTCACAATAGATATGATGCATTTTGTCTTTTCTGTGTATTGTTTTTAATTAGAAACTGAAGGAACAGTCTCAATGAACTGTATATACATAACAGGGATGATTTGCTTCTACTTGACTTCAAGGTTTGAGGTTGTCAAACTTAGAGGTCATGAGCCCAGCAACACACTGTGAGCCTGTGACCAGCTTTGTGGAAGTTGACACTGATGTGCGGGTTATGATGGTAAGCATCGCCTGAGCTGTTTTTCTGGGACTTGGATGGTGCATTTGTTCAGCTCATAATGGTAGACACCACTGAATTCTGAGTTAGATGCCACAAATGTGACTTCTTTGACATCACAGGGTTGAAACCCTACTCTCAGGTTATGTGAATGTATGATCTTAAGGACATATGTCCTCTGAAGAGCCGTGGAGTTTGGGTATCTATGTGCAGACTTCATCTCCAATCAACCTTGCCGCATCTTAGAGCAGGCCCTTCCTCTGTGTCATTTCCTATCTATGCAGCCTGCTAGACATGGACTGAGACTTCTAAAATGGTGAGGCCAAATAAACCTCTATTTTAAGTTGTGGGTGTTGGGTATCATGCGTCAGTGCTGCAGAAAGTGATGAAGACAGACTTTTTTTTT